GAAGTGTACCTCTGGTGCAAATTACTGACCTCTGTCATCATTTTAAGTGGGGGAACTTGCACAATCGGTGGCTGACTAAATACTTTTTTGCCCCACTGTAGGTAATTTTTTCATTAACTCATCAATATGCCTCTTAAAATTTAGAAGTTCATCAACATGAACCACCCAGAATTTAGTAAGTATAACCCTTTCGATCATTAACATTTTTCTGATTTTTGTTTGAGTGAAATAATTTAATATCAACAGCTGCAAGACAAACTTGTTGTTGAAGTTAAAATTTGATATAGAGGTCCTCCCAGGCTTCAGACATCCCTCCCATTCACAACTGAAATCACCACACTGTAGTTTACTGTACTTTAAACATCTAGCAGTGAATCTAGTGGCTTTTCAATTAGCCGTTGTGCCGTCAGTGAGATCTCAGCCTCAGTTCTCTCTGCACCTACTCAATGTTAGTGACAGGAAAGAGCGAACAACAGCACTGATGACTAAGCCATTTGCATATGTGCGGTGTTGTTTGATGGTTTGTTTCCCAGGTGTGTGTGTGTGTGTGTGTGTGTGTGTGTGTGTGTGTGTGTGTGTGTGTGTGTGTGTGTGTGTGTGTGTGTGTGTGTGTGGAAAAAGGAGCTTTCGCACTGAAAGCTCATTTTGCATGTTAGCATAAAAGAAATCACAGTACAATCATTGTCTTTAATTTTATGGAGATTTTAAAGATAATAAATCAGACGCTAGTTATTTTCCAACCATGTTAAATTCCCCACAAAAGCATCAAAGTAAAGCTGATACTGCTGTGTTCGTGTTCATTTTTGTGGTATTAAAAGCTTTGGGGAAAACAAAGATTCAGTCATTTGTTTGCAGAGCTTTCTACAATGACCACAGTCACCACCTCTTGTTTTCTTGTGAAGGCTGTGTGGTGCCCTGTGCGAGAAGGAGGCGAACACAAGAGGCGGAAACCGAGTGAGGAGTTTGTTTTGTAGGGAGGGGTTCAGATTGGAGCTGCTGCTGTTTCTCAGCTCTGAGAATAGCCAGCTGAGGTTTGAGTCTGCACTGATGCTTACTAACCTTGCTCTGTGAAGGTGCAGTGCTTGTGTTGGGCTGCACACACTTGTGAATGGCTTTTGGTGGAAATCCATGTGTTTGTGTATGACTAGGAAAGATTTGACTGTAAATGTTATTGAAAAGCACATTGTAATGCATTATTCTTCTTCCCTTTTTTTGTATTGTCAGTCGGGCAACATGGACGCAGGTTTGTGACTGCAATAACTCGAGAAGAAAGTAATTTTCAAATTCATACCATAGTTGCATCTGCTTAAAAATCCCAAATATGTATGAATCTCAGTGACCTCAACCTTTAAGGTCAAGGTCAGAGGTCAAGTTTTCCAAGACTCTTTATCATTTCTGAAATGTACTACAGCATTTTTCAATTAGCGGTGGACATGATCTTTTACTTGATAGTGACATAAAATGCATCAAGATGATGTTAGAGGTTGTTTTTTTTCAGCATCAGAGGACCTCCCACAGCTTCCTGCTGTATTTCCCTCTAACAGGAGATCCCTGAAAACGATGTGTTTACCTGGTATGCTTGTCTATGGTGCTAGGCCAAAGTCATGTAGATCCAGTGCAGAGCAATGGAAGGCAATCAAGCAGCCCTCGTCCCGTGGCATACTATGAAGGCCACATGTTTGTTGTGTAGATGCACCCTGTTGCCTTTGGGTGTTCACCTCTGGACCTTAATTAAGAGACCCTCCAGGAGCCACAAGGGTGACTCATCACAGAGTGAGGAGTTATGAAATTGAGCCTGTGTCTCTCAGGTGGCTTGTTAACGCCTTGACAGATCGCTGGAAGAGCTAGAGGTGATGGCATGTCAGAGGGAGGTCTTTGCAGCTCTGCTCAGGCTGCTGCCTCTGTGATCACGACCTGGATAAGGAGCAGAAGTGAATTCATGGATATCCTCTGTTGTTCCTGTGTTTGTAGTGTGATCACGTGGATGTTTCTTCAGTTCTGTGTGACATTGCTATCAGTGAGAGTCCAGCAAACTTTGAGGAGGTAGAGGGAAAACGCCAGCTACCAAAAACAAGTCAAGCTGAGATGAGACGCATGAAAGTATGATTTTTACTTGAATTGGTTCAGTGGAAATGATGTAATTCAGGTAACTACAATTTTTTTTTCTTAGTAATGTTTTAATTAAATTCATGGCATTTGTAGAAGTGATTTTGCTTGTTAGGTGGAGCTCATCTAAGCTAAGAAAATGTGTCAAATCCTTGCATTTTAATGATTTCCTTGTGTTGAGTGTAATGCTTTCAGGGCTTGTCTGTGCACACATGGAGCGCACTGAGTGTCCTTTTTCTTGGCTGTTTGCTTTTGTCAAGCAAGGTTTGATGGGTTTTGTGGTTAACGTCACTCGGGTGATTGTGTGAAACTCTGCTGTTGAAAATTTAATGATTTTTCAGTCTTACGAAACTCTTGCGTAATCCCATCAGTGATCTGAAAAATGCAGGCATGTCCTTTTTTTCCCTCTATTTGTGCAAAAATGATTTGTAAGCTGAGACTGCTTCTGCTCTGACACATTGACGACTTGAAGATAAAGTTCAGTGACTCAGTCTTTCCCAGGCTGCTTCCTCCCCGTTTCCTTATTTGAATATAACTACACTGTTGTGACCCCTCCTGAATCCAGAATGATGATTAACCAGGGAGACATGTCACGTCCCAGAAGCTTCATTGTTTTAATGACTTGCTCCCACAAATTATTCAGGGCAGTGAAGCTGTTTTGCATTTGGATGGCCTATTTTAAGATCAGTTTGGCATCTCTTAGTTGGAGTGGAATGTGTTGATTTATTTGGGTTGACCTTAATTTCTCTGAAATTGTATTGTCATTATTTAATTCACTGCCGTAAAAAAAGTGTGGATAAAGTGCTGAGTTCTTTAGAAACAGAAATTTGTAAAAATTGTGGATATTAAAGGGATGGATCAGGTTGTATAAAGGATTTTGGACATTTTCAGAGTCAGATGGTGTGTTCTTATCTGATTCTTCTGTGATAAAATACCAGATGAGGGCGGCTTCGTACACACAGTAAATTGTGCATACAGAGATGAAAGGGGGGGAAAAAACAAGGGGTCATTGTGGGACATCTGCATGTGGTCATCTTGACCTTTTGTATAAGCTTCTCATAATAGGAGCTTTGAGTTTTTCACATGGTATTATATGGATGACAAATTAAAGGAAAACCAACATTAAGAGTCATTTTAAGGTGTTGAGCCATCCAAGTGCCACCAAAATGGCTTCAGTGCCCCTTGGATTTGATTCTCCTAGACTCTGTAACTTCACTGTTAAAGCAGAGCACCGTCATTTTGTGTTTTTGATCATGGCGATGTCTGTCATATTTATTTAAGAAAAGGTTGTTTGATTAGATTGAGATCTGGTGGGCGTGTAGGCCATTCCAAGATATGAGCCTCTTGATTGTCACCCAGGAAGACGCTGCTCTCATTGGTTAAAAATATATTTGCCTGTTAGTAAATGAGTGGAATCAAACAATGCCAATTTCCACCGGTGGAAGTGCATCCAAAGCCAACTATTTCTTGCTGCGTGCATCATTTGAGAGAGGAAAATAGTCTGATCTCTTTATTCCATGACCTAAAAAAAAAGTTATATTTCAGATGCAAGGACAGATCACAACTGTAGTAGAAGATCCTTTCCTATTACAACAATAGAAGGAATCAGAAGACCACTAACAGGAAGGTCAGTAGTTCAGTCCTCAGGTCTTCCGGTCCACATATTGAAGGATCCTTGGGCAAGCTACTGAAACCCAAGTAACTCCCAACACATCCGTCTGTATATGAGTGAGTGTGCTCTAGAGTACTACTGTATGAATTTGGGCATGTCAGCTTGTATTAAAAAGCCCTTTAAGTGGTCCATTTGACTAGAAAACCTCAATATATATGTTTGTTCAGTTGAACAGACTAGGCAAGACAAAATGTGTCAAATGTCCCGTTAAAGAATAAAGTTTTTTTTTTAAAGTTAAAAAAGATGTGTTTGAAAAGTTCTGGGAAACATTTTTGAAGTTGTAGAGGTTGAATGTAATGTAAAGTCAATCTGTAATGTTGCAAATACACATTTAGATGTAGAGATGTAGATATTAAGTTAGGGGAAATTTGATATTAACAGACAGCAAACACCAATGTAAGGTAATAATCAACAAATGGCTGCATTCTGCCTAAAGGAACAGACTGTATACTTTTTCCTGTCAAACCTGTTAGTAGATATTTAGGAGCTTAAATATATGTGTCGTTTGGGGGAGGGGTGTTGGATTTACTCACAAGAGTTATTATTATTTACACACCCTGAATAAACGTTGTTGTTGTTTGTTTGTTTTTTGCATTGAAAGCAGTTGGAATTAAATATTTCAGTTATCCTAAAATGGACGCGTCGACAGTTTGGTTAATGTCTTTAATATTCCTCACTTAGTTTAATTAAGGCTGTTGTTGTGCTGTCTGGCTGGAAGCCTCACAGTAGGCTGCCTAAAAATCAATGGGAATTTTGGACGCGTCCATCTCAACGATTTAAGGGTCAAAAGCCACCTTTATTTCTCTATCTGCTGTGTCATCAGCGGTTTGTAATTACACATATTATTGGAATATCAGTATTAGTTTCATTAAAGTTAAGTTTAGAAACTGTTGTTCGAGTTGGTCTTTATTTATCTAAATTAGTTTGGACCTAACCCCACCCCTCCCAGGGGGTCCTACTTGGTACAATCTGAACCAAGCTAGGAGCTGTCGGCGCTAATTTTTTACTCTGGATTCACGAAGTCTGTGTGTTTTGTGAGTGAAGTGATTCACTTAAAGTGAAACATTCAGGACTTTTACTTTTTCAAGCTTCTAATTTTTTTTAAAATTCTTCACAACTTGTGGCAGATGTGCCACCGGAAACGCCTAACTAGTCGTAGTTTGGTTTGAATCCTCGGTACCACTCTCGGACAGTTCAAAGTGCGTGATGCCAGTAAACGGCGGGGGGCTGCTCTCTCTGAGCAGATACGCTACTCAGTATTTAACAGTAAGTCCTTTTGTACGCTTACAGTTAGTACTGACGAATACAAATGTAGTGTAATGTAGCATTATTAGATAACTTTAGCCCTGTGGATGTGCTGTGTGTGTGTTTGCGTGTGTCTCTCTGTGTGTATGTGTATGTGTGTGGATATCCTTGAGGAAAAGTCGGGAGTTTCCATGAATCCCTGCTGAAGCCTGTTGCACCTGCTGTTACTGCTACTGCGACTGCTACCAGCTACACGAACGGTTTAGTTAGCTAACTTTTAACTTTAAACACATCTCTGTTGTCTTAAGATTAGTTTTGACTTCTGATCCAATCCGCAGTTTTTGTTTAGTCGACCGATTGGTACATTTTACAGCGGATTTAACGTTTTTGGTCTTATTTATCTTGTGGTTATTTGGAAATCCACTTTCTCGGGAAACGGCAGTGTTGTGGTCCCCCTGCATTACAAACTAAAGCCTTCAAACTCAATGTAGTTGTTGTTTTTCTACACTAAATTAAATATACTTATGCAGGAGTTGTTTTTCTGGCACACGAGGTAATGCAGGTATACGGCCAGGAGGGGGTAGACTTGCACTGCCTTTTCTTATCAGCAGCACATAAACACAGGAAGTGGCTGGGTCATTTTGTCATTTCCTGATAATGTTCCTTTGATTTCAAGGAAAGATGGGAAGTAATTGGGACAAGAGAAGCATGTTGCTCAAATGATGTGATTATACTCTAAACAAAGCTGTAAAACCTAAATAAAACTTTGGTTGATAGGCAGAAAAGTCTTTAACTTAACTGAACATTTTCTTGTAGCATGTTTCATGTCATGTTCCTACTTTATATAATTGTATTTATTTATTTAGTTAGTTTGCTTTGCCTTCCCTACAGGCCCAATGTAATTCAATGTTATAATTAAAATGCATCACTTTGTGCCTTAATTTACATTTAACATTCAGATTAGTCCAAAAAAACCCCAAACAAATGAAGTTATAATGAAAATGATAATATAGGTCTACCATCTATTAAACATGTTCCAGGTTATTTTTCTTTGGACAAACGTGATTGATATAAGAATAGATGGGTACTTAAATAATTCTGCAAGAGACGTTACTGTCTTACAGTAACAGTAAAAATGGTATGTGTTTCAGCTACACATTTATTTTGTATTTTCTTTGTGGTAAGTGATGAGCTGTATCTCTAAATTTGTTTTCCAAGTCACATCCTGTGTGTATAACCCAGTATTTCATTTCCCCTCCTCATTAGTGGAAATGTGTTTGTGTTTTGTTATGTAATCGCTTGCACTAGGGACTGTGACTTATCCAGTGGGCCTGTCTGCGAGGACCCATAACGTTCAAATCGCATAGTACAAAAAGACACTCTGACTTAAATTGGTTTGGCTTTGCCTGAAGCACGCTCATATTTCTAAGTCATTCATATGTCTCCCCTCTTCACACATGGCAGTCTGTTTGGCCCTTTGTGGTGCAAATGGATGTCAAGTGATACCCCCGCCCCTCCAATATAAATGTTCCCCCTTTTTATTGAGGCTGGGCTCAGTATGTTTCCAATCCTTTGCTCTCCACACACACGAGCCTGACTTGCGAAAAACGGTTTAAGATAAAGTTCCAGATGGGCATTTCAAAGGTCATTTCCAGATCTTAAAAAACAAAACAAAACAAAACAAAAATCTCCCTCTCCAAGGGTTTGTCCCCCCCCTCCCCACCACCACCACCGTGCAGTCTCTCTGCTTCTGCCACTGGTCCTAAAGTATTCCTGTGCTGGCCAGAAGATCAAAAAAGTGGGTTATGATGGGTGTGCTGCCAGCTCGAGTCATGCCCCCATTTCACTAAGCCTGAGCCTGAAATGGCAGCAGCACAGAGATTTTTCACTTTCCACGATGTAAAATCCTAACCATTGTACTAACTCAGATTTGAACTCCTCAAACGTTCACTGTGGGTTTGTCTCTGTGAAGTGAGAATCCGCTCCGAAACTTTGGGAAGTGCCCGATATATCTCGATGTGCGAGCACGTGGCAAAGCCGGAATACGTCGAGTGATCCGCTGTCGCGCTTGTGGATGAACTCTCAGGTTGTTGGGATCGCCGCGTGCTTGCACAGGAGCTGGTGTGCCTGTGTGTTTACACTTTCTGCAGACGGTGGGATTTGTGCTGAATGTAGGCCAGCAGAATCCCTCTTACGTCAAAGGCGGGCGGGCGGGCAGATGCAGGGAGAGAGCTGCTGGTGGTTGTGCAGCTGTGGCCATGGAGGAGGCTGTGGCGCACATCAGTCTGCCAGAGCACCGCTGGCGGTGAGCAGGGAGAGACACAGAGAGGAAAGAGACTGAGAACCAATGATGAAGACGGTCCTCAGCTTGCACAGGAAATGGGCCCACGCGGTGAAGACCATACGTATCCTGCAGGGGCTCGTGAGTGCTATTCTGATTGCAGCTTAAATTTGATCAGATGTCTGGCCAGCCAGCATGACCTGAGAGTTTCTTTAATGGTTTGGGTCGTGTTTTATTTTGAAATGAGGATGTCAGAAGTGCAGAAAAGTAGCACTAACGGGTGAAAAAATTCCGGGTAGTCTACGTGAACGGATATAAAGTAGTTTGCCTTTTCTCTCTCCATGTTTGTTGTGTAAAAAAAAAATTGATGTGTCATTCGTGTTTTTATATTTTGAAATCGCCTTTGTCGTTGTTGAAAATAAGGGCATGTTTTTGACCAACTTTGCGATTTTCTTTGGACTGAATGAGTTTTTAGTCTCCTAACAGATATAAATAAAGTGGCAGCATCTATTTAAAAAGGAAACATCTTTTAAACAATTTCACTTTATTTCAGTTTTTTCCTCACTCTGTCAGTTTGAGTCTGTCTTCTAATTAGTATTTCTTAGTGTGACCTGTTGGTGGCTTCCTCATACAGCCTGTTTCATACAGTTTTTTGTTTTGTCTTATTTAAAGAGTGCAAACTGATGCTTAAGTGTCCCAAATCCATTTCTAATCAACAAAAGCCAGAAGTTACTTTTCACAGCTTGCACTAAACAGCCCAGTGGAGGGCTGTCATTGTTCTTGTGGTTGTGTAACAACAGGAAGCATGGGCTAATGAACTAGCTTTGTTGTTACATCACAAAATACATTATTAATCTGTCCGGTGAAATAAACCCATCCGTGGTAATCTTTTCTTCTCTCTCCTCAGAACCCGGTCATGGAGGAGACCGTGTGGGAGCAATACACCGTGACCTTGCATAGGGTGAGTCCATCTGCACCTAAAGACACTCCCAACCTCATCTCATTTACAGCATGCACATGTTTTCCATAAGCCCGAGCTGTTGACCCCGGTGGATCATAGGAAATGCATTTAATTGATTGCTTTGATATTTTGCAGTGAACCGATAGTGAAGGGAAAATGATGTCAGTGACATTCCCCTGAACTCTGAATGACCAAATTCAAGCAGAGCTGTTATGTTTTAAACCATCAAGAACAGTTATGTTTATGTTTCTGCTTATGATACTTGACTCAGGGTTAAGTAACTTTATAGAGTAATGGATCATGGAGCTTTTAGCAGCTAAGGGGGAGTATAATTCAAACCCACTTATTGTGTGTGTGTGTGTGTGTGTGTGTGTGTATATGTATATATTGTATGTATATAGAAGATGGATTTAGCTTTTACAACCAAGTCATAAGTGTATTTAATATGCACTCTTTTTAATAGCCAGCAGATGGTGATCTGCTGGTGACCTGTGGTTGTAGAGAAGGCTACCTGGGAAAACACAGCTTGGCTGTTTTGCTCTGCGCCCTCAATAAACAGTTTCCTGATTAGTTTAGGGGCTCAGCTCTTAGTTTCCAGTCTTACTGAATACAACGTGAAGTCCAGTCTGTAAGTTTTCATTCTAAGAATCAGAAACAAGGATTATCACGTCAGACACCAAGATAGCGATGGCAATTGCAACTCAAGGCTTTTTAAAGACTGCTTTAACTGTCCTTGTCGATTTTGAAGATGACCATAATTTACAACTAAATATTTTATTCAGTGCTACTTGAGACTGACGACATCAAGAAATTGTTTAGAAAGCTAACAAAGTAAAGGAGCTGAGTTCTGGTTTTCCACAGAACTCGTATAACATATAACACAAAGTCTTACTTGAAACCAAAGTTGTTGGCTTTGTGTGGCCATTGAAAAGACTGAAAGTGTAAAGCACATCCAAGTTACTTATATCTGAAAAGTAAAACTAATGTTCATCTTTTATACTGTCTATAGTCTACCTTAAAGAGGTGGTCAAGACATGGGAATCTGTGTCCTGAGATGATTTTGTGACATGGGGTGTTATCCTGCTGAAAGTAACAACAGACGATGGGTACACTGGTTATAAAGAGATGGACAGGTTCAGCAATAATACTCAGGCTATGGTGTTTAAACAATGCTCAGCTGGTACCAAGTGGCGGACCAGTCTCCTCTGGCATCAGTAAGGCATTTTTGCCCAGAGAATTGATGCTCACTGGATGTTTTCCCTTTTGTGGGCCCATTCTCTGGAAACCGTAGAGTTAACTGTGCAGGAAAATCCCAGTGAATAAGCAGTTTCTGAAATACTCAAACCAGACCATTTGGCACCAACAACCATGCTGCGTTCAAAGTCAGTTAAATCACCTATTATCCCCATTCTGATGATCGATTTTAACTTTAGCAGGTTGTCTTGACCACATCTACATTACTCCAATGTGGGATTTGCAAATTGGCTGTTGCCAAATTTATTTTTTATTTTTTTCCCCTGGTTCTGTATGATGTCACTGAGAGTGAGTCCCACCTACCAGCTGTTCAAATGTTTTGTTGATGAGGGGCAGCCAATTAGAAGAGTTTATTTAAAAAGAGGTTGGTCTCAAAGGGGCATCTTGAATTTAGGGTTTGAGTCCAAGAATAAAAAAATATGAAACAGAAATTGGCGTAATGGGTTCCTTTTAAAATAGATTTCAGTGTTTAACATGTGGTCATAGTTAGATTACTTTTCAACAATGTTCTGATCATTAATAACTTAAGTTTATTAGAAATACATTTACATAAATATACCAGGTCAAAATATTTATTTATTTCTCAATTGAAAAATTTAGTCCAGGAATCCTAAACTGTATGATCCAGTGACTATTAAAAAATGAAGATATACTTCAGTTCCACTTTTTGATTTTTCCCAGCTATCGCATCTTTAATCGTTCATTTGCTCAACTTGTTTAACCGTCATCCAGTGACCAGGGTTCTGGCTGCTGTTATGTTAGTCACGTGTGTGACTGTGTAAGCGCAGGAAGTCATTTGAGCTTAGGTAATCATCATGATGAGCTCATTGTCGCGTGCTGTGGCTCACTTAGGCCAGAAAAGCAGATTTTGTGCAAAAAGGTCCTCTGCTGTAGGCATGAGCCCCCCCCCCCCACAACCCCACCACAGCCAGCTGTCACACTCTGCTTTGTGCTTATACTTTTTGGTCCCTTCCACTATTTAACTGAATTTTCTCTCTTTAAATATTCAGAGCATTTGTAATGTCATTTAAGGAGCACAGAGTCTAAATATGTGATATTTATTAGATTTTTGGTCCAAGGTAGAGCCCATACTTTGCTTGTAAGGGATTAAAACAGTATTTATTACAGTATGCAACATTCAGCCACATTTCCATTTTCAGGTAGGTTGCAGCTCGTAACTTAGTCGTCCACCCTTTTCTCCAAAAAGAAATGACTTCTGGAGTCTAGATCCACAGACATGTATATACAGCACAAAGTGCAAACTGAATTCACAGTGTAGTACAATATCTGCCCAGTAGTTTATATCATTTGTCAGATTATGGCATTTAAAAAGCTCCAAAAAGAACAAACACAATCCAGAGGTTCAGTTCAGCAACTGGAATTGGTGGAGGTGATCCTGATCACACAGTTAATCTTTAGTTGCTTGTGTTGTTTTCCATCTCTGTAGCATGCACTTAATAATGAAAAAGCAGGATTCGCATGTGTTTCATATGAGTGGGATGTCGTCAAACATTCCCAAACTGAATTCTGGATTTATTGCTTTTGTTTTTACTCATCTGCCAGCCAGTCAATATGCATTTATCAAATCCAATTTAAATAAATATCTGTAAACGTCTTCAGACGGAGGCAAGATTTACAAGATGGCAAAGAGGAAAAAGGGGAGATTCATGGTTATAATGAAGGAGGACATGCAGTGGGTTGGTGTGACAGGAGGATGTTAGAGGTGGAGATGGAGCTAAACCTAGAGGGAGCAGCTGGAAGAAGAAGAAAAGGCAGAACAGGCCACACACCGTTTATCAACTTGGTTTTGGGTAAAGATGGGTATAATATGGTTGATCTGATGCATCAGAAAATAAAGCATGTTCTGAGTATTTAAAGAGAGACAATTCACTTAAGAATACCCCCCCAAAAAGTTGTTACCTGCTCTACTTTCATCAACCTGATGGTGAAAAATAATCAGCCCATATCACATTGTAAATATTCCTTAATAATTATAAAATTGGTTTAAGATTTCTTATTTAGATTGGCATCTGCAGGAGCAGCTGGTGGCTTTTTTTTTTTTTTTTTTAATCAGGCTCCACAGATCTTCCCTCTTGCTTCAACCACTGGTGGAAACGATGCAAATCAGCAACAGGCTTTCTTCTTGTTTCAGTCAGGGGATTATTCCTGGTTTCATGTTACAAACTGCACGTGTTTTTGTTTTTTGAGTAGAAGAAATTCTGTGAGTTATGAAATCTGAGGAAAAATCAGACAATGTCGAGCGTTTTCATGTCAGGATGAAGGCAACCTCGAGAGAGTTGACATTTATCTGAGATCTGAAGGGTTGGGGTTAAAATTATTACATTATCATTTTTACATATGTAATAACTGTATTACACTTTATATTTTAACTTTTTCTTCCTCTTTTTTTAAAGATATATTTCAGCCATAGTTTGTTGATGCAGCCCTCTATTCCCCCCCCCCCCCACTGCTGCTCTTACTCTTACCCTTCCTCTATCTCGACAGCCATCTGCCAGAGAGTGTGTGTGGGGTTTTGTTTTTTTTTTGTTATTCATTTATTTATTTATTTATTTTGTATTTTAAGTACAGATGGGAGGGAGGGGATAAAGAGAGACAGGGTCAGCAAATCTCTGACCTAATCTCATCAGGGCAAGCTGGAGCAGTGGCAGGTAGAATCTGAGAAACCCAGAAACATGAAGAATTAAGCAGCCTTTAAAAACAGAGTATTTAAATTAAACTTTCTGTTAGTGCTCACATGTTAGATTGGCTTAAAATCTGACACTTGTTACTTATGAAACATCAATGTAGTATTTCAGAAAGCTACATAGTATTGAAGTACAGGTGCTCAGCCGCTGGATAGTCCTACATGCTCTCAGCAGGCAGAGCTGTAATCGCAGACAGTCAAAATCCCTTTAATCACCATGTACAATACACATACAGCCATGATAATGCAGTGTGAGCTGAAACACACCGTTGGGATTATTGGACCTCACACACGCACGCAAAAGCTTAAAAACACAAGGGGACAATGAAGCGAGCCCTCATGATGTACCGTTGGAGGAAAAAAGTTTATGAATTCATTACCTGGATTTTTTCTTTTTTTTTTTTATTCTTGAATTAAATCGTGAATAATGCCACATAAAATCCAACTAAACTAATAATGTACAAATGGATACTTTTGATGGATTTATTGAGCATGCTGTCACACAGAGCAGGGGTTTAGGAATTCATAGAACCTCCTTTAGCAGAAACAAACTCCATCAGACATTTCCCTCAGCTGCTTATGAGATATAAACAACATCCAGGAAAAATTGTTGACCCTGCATCCAATAGAACATTTTCATTTCATCATACCACAGCATCTCAATTGGATTAAATTGGGTCTTTCCTGGTTTAAAACAGGCCTGTGGGGGTTGACTTTGGTCTTCATTTTATTAAGGCAGTAAGTCAGCGTTGCCTAATCTGTTTTTTAAATGGTATTTTCCTGTTATTTCTGGCCATTGGATAAACAAGTATATTTTGTGCTTCAGTAAACTGATGCATGACAGTAAAAGTCCTGCCCTTCTGTAATGTTAGTGCAGTATAAACTGTGTTTTCATGTTAAATTATCTGTGTTTAAAAAGTAATATGTTCGAAAATGAGAACATATTAACCTCTTAAGGTTAATTGTGGCGCAAAGGCATCAGAGGCAGAGCACTACCAAACCTACTTCAGCGCTACCCCTCTCAATGTAATTAAAATAAATGGTATTAAGTATGTCTGTGCTGAGTTTGAAATTCTAGTGTCATGACAACTTTACACAAACACAGTTTATGGTCACGTGTAGATATTTCTGCAGGTGTTTTACTGTTAGCCTTGCTTAGGATTGCACGCTGTGATTTTCGCACAATGTCCAGTTGTATAGAGAGTAGCTGGAGCGTTTTTGAGTTCATAAATCTTTCCTCTCTTTTCAGGATTCGAAGATGGGCTTTGGCATTGCTGTATCAGGAGGGCGGGATAACCCAAACGAGGACACTGGCGAGACGTCCATCGTGGTATCTGATGTCCTGCAGGGAGGGCCAGCTGATGGATTGTTGTTGTATGTACCATTTGTTATTTTATGGTTTTACTCCAAAGAAACAAACTCCAAAATAAATCTACTCACAAAACACATGTAACAGCTTGATAAAATAAATAAAAATGTAATTGACTTCAGTTGGATTAACTTGTGTGTTTACTTTTGTTTAGTGAAAATGACAGAGTGGTGCAGGTGAACGCCATCCCCATGGATGGAGCCATCCACTCGTTCGCTGTCCAGACCCTCAGGAAGTGTGGCAAAGTAGCAAAAATTGTAAGTAAAGCATCAATCTCTCTTTTAAAAAAGAATCTACTCTTCACATTAGGAATTAAGGTTTTTATTAAATGGATCTGTTTGTGCTTTTATGGAAAAATTCAGACAGTCAAAAGGCCCAGAAAGGTTCCAGTCAATGTGCTCAATCGTCAGCCATCACCTGACGACAGAGTCTTCAACAATGACTACAATGATGACTACAACTATGATCAGGACCGACGTAGCGTGTACAGCGCTAGGAGTGGCGGAGGCCGGGACCAAAGCCTGGAGAGGGAGCGAGGCGGCTACATGGACTCCGGCTACCACACACGTGATCGTGACTATGACCGGCGGGAACGTGGCAGGAGCACAGAGAGAGACCTCAGCCCGGACCGCCAGTACCGGCGAGATGGCAGCAGAGGGCGCACTTTGGATAGAGAGTACAGCCCAGATCGCCGCTATAAGAGCGAGCATGCGCTTGACCGTGACTACAGCCCAGACAGAAGGTACCGCAGCGACCGCACATTAGACCGAGATTACAGTCCTGATCGGCGTTTCCGCAGCGATCGAGCCCTCGACCACAGCCCCGACCGACGCTACCGAAGCGACCGAGCCCTGGACCGCAACGAGAGCCCCGATCTGCGCTACAGGCGTGACAGTCCAGGACGAGGCCGCGGCCGCGATCAAAGCTACGATCGAGGACTTGACCGCATCGCAAATGAGCCGCGGAAATATGACGAGCCAATAAAGCGAAGTGCAAGCAGGGACCGCCTTGAACGCACACCGTCACCTGCTGCCGTGCCCCTCCCTCTGCCACGCCCTGCCCGGGACCTGGAGCCGCTGGAGAAACCTGTGAATGTGCTACTGCTGAAAAACCATCCCAACGAAGGTGAGACGCTAAAAGGCTGTCAGATAAACAAAACATGTGAATGGTTCTCTTCACCTTAAATGAAAAGGGTTACAGTCTCTGTGGGTGGCACGGAAAGCTAACCTTTACTAAAATTCAGGTTAAATCCTATTTTTATGTTAATGAATGAATAACAAAATAATCTATGTTGGAGGGTTGTGAACTTTTTCCCGGTTCTGAACTAAGACGTAAGAAGAAGTTTGAGAATCACTCAGTTAGGTTCTTATCTGACATATAGAATGGTTTATTATTCAGCATAGAAAGGTTAACCACTTTCCTACCAGGTTATCTGGTCTCTTCCTCAGCTGATACCCTTCTACACAACCATTTGGCAAATCTCACAAAGGTTGCTGCCAATAGCACTTGTGTATCTGCAAGCCTGTTGGAAACCTGACTCCTGCCCCAGCTCTTCCTTTTTCTGTTTCCATTTTAATTTCTGTTGCCGTTTATATCTGCTCTGTTCTGTAGTGGGGGCTTCCTTCATATGCACAGGGAAGGGCATGGTGATCCCAAAACAAGGGTTTAAGTGGTCCTGACAAGAGTTTTGTTACCCATTTCTAAGTATCTTTGATTGATATCATAAAAAAGTAAATAAAACATGGACAGCTATTTGGGAAAGAAACCCCCTCCTGCATTTAGCACAAAAACAAATGGTGTCTGCCACAAGAAAAACAATTGGCAACAAATTTGATAAATGGTAAGCAGAGGAAAGGATGCACTTTATTTGAAGGTTTTATTAAATGGATGCAAAATGGAAATGTCCTAATTGTACGTTTAATTGTTTACTCAAGCAATTCTAGCTCTCTCTCAGAGAGAGAGTTAATGGAGGCACGGCCATGTCAGCATACATCACCACCAGCTGATTTCAGCATATTAGCAGATAAAATGGCTTGTACCATTCATCAGTTTGGCGCTCGCTGTTTACTGGCTTTATTTTTAAATTGAGGTGAATTTCTTCACTTGGCACAGAAATGCATAAAACAAAATGAACAGTTGGAAAAGTGATCACAGTGCTTATAGGTAAATTCTTATTTTAGACATCAGCCTAGTATATCAGTGCATCATTTATACAGATGTGTCCAGAGGCATTTTGGTCAGTGACCGTTAATAAACCCTTCAGAGGTCGAAAAGTGACCTGATTAATTTTTCCATTTGTTCGGGAATTCCAGGTTATCTAGACTGTGAATGTCAAATATAATTAAAGTGGAGTTAGATAAAATAAGGTAAACTATTTGTTTCCTTATTTATACATAAAATATATGTGTGATTTGTGTTTTTGCAGAATATGGCCTTCGTCTGGGCAGCCAGCTCTTCATCAAAGAGATGACCAGCACAGGACTTGCCAGCAAGGATGGAAACCTGCAGGAAGGGGACATTATTCTGAAGGTAGGGTGGTGTATATTCCTTATTTGTCATTTTTTGCTCATTAACCGTCCATCTCTGACAGTTCAAATGAATCCTTATTTATATTTTACTGGGCTTTCGCTCAGCATCTTGGGTCACGCTTTGGATGAAACGATCCGGTCACACAGGGTTAAAGACACTGCGTAGCAACTACAGATCGCTAGGGGAAATGAGTATTTCCTGACCAGTTGTTGGCAGTCGATGTGAAATCGATGGCTACATCGCAGTCACGCAAGACTAATGACTAGTTTGTGACCCCATGGCCCAGCTGTCGCTATGGAAAAATGAGTATTCCTCAGCTGGTTGCTAAAGCTTGCTGGTATTTCCTCAGTAAGATTGCAAAAAGCTGTATATACCTCTGCACTGAAACTTTCCAGTTGCCTTGTTCACTAGTAGGTTGCTGACAACACAGACACTCTGTAAAAGTTGTTGGTTTCAGTGATATGATGCGAAATTTAGTTTGAAGGTGAGTATTCTCGATTTCTGGTTTGCATTACACTTTCTTAAGTTACAGCTCGGCAAGCAATCAAGAGCAGGCTGAAAAATAAATTATTTCCCTAGTGACCAGTGGTTGCCAGGAGTAGATGGGTCTTTGACCAAAGTCAGTGCTAGTATATTGTAACCTTGGTTTCTGCTGCTTCAGTTGCTTGGTTGTATTCCGTATCCAGGCACAGCTGACAAACAGCCTCTAATTTCTTTCTTTTATGTTAAAGTGCTGCAAAACCGTGCTGTAACACAGCTGTCATCTGTTTGCTTTCAGTCTCTTTTGTTTATGTCTTCCACTGAAAGAGAGTCAGAGCTGCAACATTGGGTAGCGGAAGTGTAACATCTTTTAGCAGAAAACTACCGTTGTGTAAAATAAGAAACATGCGTTTAACAGAGTAGTATTTCATACTAGAAAGGGCAGCAGCGATTAAATATTTAGTCGACAAGTCGCCCACATTCCTATCAGTACCTGGGAGAAGCAGCTGCCACACAGAGGCAGGGCGGAGTGGTCACTTTTACATTTGTCTCATATTAAACAAGATGAACAAGATTTCTGAAAGTTTCAAATAACGAAGGCGGTGTGTGTAAAGGTAATGTCAGTGAACCAACGCTCAGGATTCACACTGCTTTAAAAGCTCAGTTTTAAACTTTTTTTTTCCCCCTACTGTTTGCTCTGTATGATATCAATGAGAGGGGGGTGTCCCAAGTGTGGTCATGTTGGGCACAGAAGCACCAACAACCTGCTGTTTTTAAATGGTATTTGTGTGAATGGCAGTCGTCTTAAAATGAGGGTGGAAGAAGCTAAAAGGATGAACTTAGGGACTGCATTTCTATTTAACTTTAGCATTTAGTAAGCCATCATTGAATTTGAGCTATTTTATTCCATGGAGTATTTCTGAATTGTGTTTTAATGTTTTCAAAAAAATGTGTTTTTGTTTTTGCTCTTTGTTTTATTTATGTTTTTTATTTTAGCTTCTTACTGTCATTTTTTTTTTTTTATCTTTTATGTGGACTGTTGTAAATCAGTTTTATTTCTTTACCCTATTTAATTGAGCTCATTTCATTTTTTTTTTTTTTAACCTTATTGCTTTGTTCTACTTTAGCTAGCCATTTTTGTTGTTGTGTTTTTGTTACTTTTTGGCTGCTTTTGTCGCCTCTGTCTCTGCCTCTTTTGACTTGTCATATCTTTACAGTGTAAGATAAATAAGGATTATTTTAAGCTTTAACAAAAATCTGGAGCTGGACATATGCCGAATAGGTTCAGTTTAAAGATCACCCCATCTCAATGACATCATACAGAGTCAAGAACAGAAAAAAAGTATCTGAAACTGACTGTTTAAAGCAACCTGAAGCATGAGTGAGCTTTTGGCTCACGGAGATTAGTTATGTGCTTACCTGATTAAACCTTTGACCATGTGTAATATCAACATTTGTAGTTGTGATAGTAGATGTTTGTATATAACATTAGGAAAAGCATAATTCCTTTTTAAGTGTACAAAATATTTAAAAACTGTAAAACATTGCATGCTTTGTTTGTGTGATTCGTGAGTGAGAAGCGTCTGCACATCTCCTAATCCCCTCTGTCTCTGTCAGATTAATGGGACTGTGACAGAAAACCTGTCTCTCAGCGATGCCGGGAAGCTGATTGAGAAGTCCCGTGGGAAGCTACAGCTGGTGGTGCAGCGAGACAGGAAGAAGATCCTGGTCCGAATCCCGCCAATGGTCGACAGCGACTCGGAGCTCGACGGTGAGAGAAACTCGAAACTGAAAAGCAGCAGGTCCTATGCCGTGTAAAGGCACACCTGGCGAGTGGCCATCATCATCTCCATGATCATCATCATCTTCATCATTTTATATATATATATCTAGAAATATAAACCTCATTGCATTATGAACTTCTAATGAATCAATTGTGGAAACCTTAATGCCATTAATGTTTCTGTACCTGTCAATCAAATTTGTTCTTAATTCTTAAAATAAAGGCTTTACTTACATCAACTTTTAGTTTTATTTAAATATTATTTCACATACACATATTCCACAAAGCACTACGAGCTAACCATATTCAGCACATCATCACCATCCCCTCCACCCTCTTATTGCTCACCCCTTTATACCTGTTTTTATTGTCACATGACCAGATGGCATGCTATTATTGGTCGGGAAGGATAGAGATAAGTGGTGTGAGTGGATTGTTCACTGACCAAATGTTTGCCGGGAGGAGGGGGGGGGGGATAGCACGAAGACTTGTGACCCAGTTTGACTGGTTTGGGGTGTGTGTGTGTGTGCGCGTGTGCATGTGTGAAAGTGCTCATTCGCCTCTAGCGGCGTGATCTAATCCCCTATCATAATCCTGCTACTGGATATGACAGAATTTCATTATGTTAAGGTTCGCACCGCTGCAGCCTTCTGGTTTCTACCATCCAGCACCCTTCTTTGTAATTCTGTTTGAGGACAATAGGGACCGACTGACTGAAAAAATTAGGATTTTGAGGTCTGACAGGTAAAAATCACCTTAAGTGCACATGTGTAATTTTACTTTGTAATGGTATTACTGTGCTTATTCCTCCCTGCCCTGGAGTATAACATAGAAGTGCAGTCTAGCTTCCACACCCTGAATGCTAACATTGAAACATCCTGTTGAGTTTTAGTGCTCCTCGTCATCATTGTAACCCCAGAAACTGGTATTTGCATATCTAATTGGTGTGGCTACTCATCTGGGAACAGTGCTCTGACCTTCATCTGTCTGAGAGCTGTGTTGCCCCCCCCCCCCCCCCAAACCACCACCAGCTTTCATGACCCAGGGGCCATTTGAGCCGAGCAAAGGCCATGTTATGTAATTTACAAAACAAAGAAGCACCAAGGAGAGATGCAGCATTTTACTCTTTCTGATAAAGTTTATAGGCTTTACTACCTGAACACAGAGGACCCCACCCCCCACCCCCATAGCTGCTTGACTCTTGTGTGGTTTCACAGGAGTTGTGATATTTTTCATCATCCTTGTGTGTTTCAGATATCTCTGAGATCGAGTCGTACCGCTCCTATTCTCCACAGGATGACAGACGGGCCCACCACTCTGACCTCTCCTCCCATTCCTCCAATGAGAGACTTCGAGACAAGCCCAGGTACACTATCATTAAAGGCCAATTCTGGTATATTTCAAGCTGTAAAAGCTTTTAATGAGCTTTTCCTCTCAGCCTCAGGGCTCAGAGACTACATCTGTACGATGCTCTGAACCAGATGGCATGTAGCTGAGGTGTTTTGGGCATGTCTTATCAGGAGGGAGGAGACCCCAGAGCAGACCCGGGACATGCTGAGACTGTCTCTTTGCTTGCTTGGGAACTCCTTTGCGTCTTCCAGGCTTGGGAGAGGGAGGTCTGGGAATCTGCTTTCCTGTGAAATCAGAAAATGCAATTTCAGTTTTATTTTTATAGGGGGAAAAATAGAAAAAGAATACAACAATCAGATAATACTCTATGAACAAGCACTGGGTGATCACGGGAAGGAAATTTAACAGGAAAATATTTCCGGCAGCATCGGCTCAGGGAGGGGCAGCCATCACCAGGAATGTGCAATTAGGAACATAACACAAATTGTACCTATTTATTTGGCCGTTTGACCTTTTCAAGGATATTGGTGTCTACGACACCAATCCTAGTATGAATCCTAGCCCCTCCTTTATTGTTTGACCCTTTTTATTTTTCATGAAGTCGAGCACAGTGTTCATTCGGTTCACCAAGTTGAACTCAGTCACATTCCTATGATATCAGCTGATCTCAGTGCTAGCCCACATAAACTAATGGTTCAACCGATATCTTCCTGAACATCCTGTTTTTCAGTCTTGTAGAGAATCCTGTTTAACTTGCTTTAGCCTGCTACCGTTGCTGCATCTAAAAGCTGCAACCCCCATCCACCCGTGCTCCTTTTCGTGCTTATTCATGTCATATCTGCCATCCATGCCTGCTCTGTTTTGGACTAGTTGGTCTTGCAACTGCTGCTTTCCCCATCTCAGGATTTCCACTATACACGTGCATATGGAAGGACAGGAAAGTCTAAGAACAGAGCTGTACTCCCAAATCTTACTGCAGAAATAAAGTTCTTCTTTTACTTTCGTGGTCCTGACTGAGTTAGAAGATTTTGTGGCTCCACAGGTTATGCCAATTTGCACTACACACCTCTGCTCCAAAGATTTGTGGAAGATAAACTGAACTGGGTGGGGCAACGACTCCAAATCAACTGGAATTTTATATAGGTCATTTCAAATGTTTCTGAGTCTGACAAAAAGCAAACACACAAAGTTTAATCCTTGAAGAGCTGGGTCTGTATTGTTTTGGCAACTGCTTGTGACCTTGTGTCTCATTTTCATTCATAGGAAAGAATTATAATTAACATTTCCTCACAACAAAAGATTTGTCTGCCTGCTCTACAAACAAACAAACAAAAACCACAATCATCTAAAAATGATTTTAAGTGTTGCTTTGTTTTGTGCTTTTCTTAATTCTAGATAACACAAAAGCATTGAGCTCTGCTTTGGTCAGTCATTTATTACGAATGAATTAAATACACCAGAAACAAATCAGGATAATGTAGGATTATGCTGATTTTATGCTTCATGAAGCTCAGGCAGTCCGTCACATCAAATATCGGAAAAACCACCATGTTATTAAACCAAACCGGAAAAGGAGTCATAATTATATCAACCGAATTAAATGTGTAAAATGCTTCTTTTAAACTTTCCAAAAATTTGGGATATTACTAGAGAGGAACCGCCTAGCAGGCTGGCAAAAATGGGTGCCATGCCGACCCCATTCAGAGGTGCCGACAGAGACGTTGAAGATAAGGCTGCTTTGCACGCAGAGAGGGAGGAGCCACGCTCCGAGACACCACCAGGTAAACATGATTTCTCCCTGAATATACAAGACCGTAAAAAATAAATAAAAGTCAAATCAGACAGTTGAATTGAATACTGACTGTAAATGATTTTGTTTCTGCAGTACCAGCTGCCAGTGTCGCCCCAAAGGTTCACGCTCCCCCTAAAGTGCCACTAAAGCCAAGTGCAGAAGACCTGGAAATATACGGGTCAGTATTAGTTAGTTGTTGTTTGTTTGTTTGTTTGTTTTAATTGAGTTGCTCAAACTCAAATTTACTCAAAAACAAGAAGCCAGCTTGGTTGTCTCCGTCATAAATAGACTCTTCCTTTGTCAACTGTTGTTTCCATGTTTCCATAATGCAGGCCGAACACGGTGATGGTGCGTTTCCAGAAAGGTGACAGTGTGGGTCTGCGGCTGGCGGGAGGAAATGATGTCGGCATCTTTATCGCCGGTGTTCAGGAGGACAGTGCAGCAGAGCAGGAGGGTCTCCGGACAGGAGATCAGATCATGAGGGTACAGCATGTTTTAGTTCCACATTTAAACCCTGCACACACAAGAGTGCTGTGTCTGAAGTTGGAGAAAAAAGACAGAAGCTTCGTCTTTGAGACATATATCAGGCCAGATTTCTCATTTTATTTCCTATTGTGTGCTTCAGGTGAACAACAGAGACTTCAGAGGCATGGTGCGTGAAGATGCTGTTCTCTACCTCCTGGAGATTCCTAAAGGAGAGGAAGTTACCATTCTTGCACAGAGCAAGCCTGAAGGTACTGGACTGGATAAAGAACAGCTGCACAAACAGTACTAATGCCAAAACCATCCTGTGTTAAAGTATATCACATAGACACACACAGAATATGATAAAAAGTCTTAGTAGTCTTGTATGAAGAGCCAGTGGCTTGCTTGCTTTTCTATTTCCTGTAATTTATTTATTTTTATGATAATGGATGAATGAGGAAAAACAAGAGGCCCAAATTTGAGCCATGTGTGATGCCAAATAATGGTGGGGGGGGTATTTTTAGCTTCTGTTTTCTTCTATTTTTGCCAGTGTATAAAGATGTCTTAGCATCTGGCAGAGGCGACTCCTTCTTCATTAGAACCCACTTTGAATATGAGAAGGAGGCCCCGCAGAGCCTTCCTTTCTCCAGGGGGGAGATCTTCAAAGTGACGGACACACTCTATGATGGCAAACTCGGCAACTGGCTGGCAATCCGTAGTGACAAAAACAACCAGCTGTTAGAAAAGGGAATCATCCCCAACAAGAGCAGGTATGCAATGATGATCATCTTTGTGCAGACAGCCTTTCTGCCCCCTGCTGGCTATCAGAACGTGATGGCTATGTTTTTTGTTGTTGTTTTTTTATTTTAAATATAAATATTTCAAGTTTTTAATTTTTTTGTATTAAGGATTTGGCTGGATATTTTATCATTTTACATGTTCTTTCGCTGGTAAGAAATCTGCATATCATCGTGTGAGCAGTCTAACTAGACAAAGTCATATATTTTCTTGTTTTCGATATCAGAGCAGAGCAAATGGCTAACGTCCAGAATGCTGCACGGGCTGCATCGGGCAATGACAGAGGAGACTTCTGGAGGATGAGGGGCCAAAGAGCTGCAAAGAAGAAAGATTTGCGCAAGAGTCGAGACGACCAGGGCAACGTTCCGGTTACACGCTTCCCCGCCTACGAGAGAGTGGTATTACGTGAAGGTATCCAGGAAACACTTTCACCCTGCAATTTTACCTGAGGCATTTTGCAGAGGTCCTCGCTGTGCCAGGACTTCTGAATTAATTCTTTTTGTTTCATTTAGCTGGTTTCAGGAGACCGGTGGTGATATTTGGGCCCATTTCTGACGTAGTTAACGAAAAACTGGCTACTGAACTTCCTGATCAGTTTGTCATTGCTAGTAAGTATCACGACCGCCTGTAAATAAACATTAGCACTAACAGAAAAAGATTTCTGTAGGCTTTCTTTACTCTGTTCTTGTTTGTGAGTGGTTTTTAATCTCCTCTTTCAGAAACTGAGCCCAAGGATGCAGGAAGTGAGAAGTCCTCGGGGGTGGTGAGATTGAACTCTATCCGGCAAATCATTGAACAGGTATGGTATAATCATTAGAAGATAATGACGCTGTATGAACACTAGTGCAGTGGCTGTTATGGGAGTGCGCAACACCCATTTTATATTGTTACAATTTATTATTTCCCCTATTTTTAATTTTTATGTCCCCTAAACACCATTAAACCAGAGTTGAATAATAGTGGCTCAAAAATATAAAGCTTCAGATATCAAGCCAAAGATCCCCAGCGTAATTTTGGGTGGATCCTTTTGGAGTTGCATCAAAACTCCAAAGGGATTTGTTACATCAGAAGCATAAAAATCTGCCAATAGTGGAGCATCTAAGAAGAAAGAGTTAAAGAATAACTGGTGCAGCCATGTTTGTTGGAACCCATTTGAATTTTAGACTAAGTGATCTTTTTTATAAAAGATTTGACCTCATAGTTTCATCCACCTGTTTGAGGGCTAAGAATTAAAATAGGGTAGGGTTGTTAGTCTGTTCTGGTCAGCTAATCAAAATTTAATTTTAATTGAGATTTTGCTTTCCAGCTATTACCCTTTATTACCTTCCATAAAACAAGTCATCATAGAGCGCTTCTTTACATGCTTTAGTGCCGTTTTGTGCAGAATTTCAACTTCCTATACATCAAAACAACCTTTATATCCCAAAGTCCATAGTAACCAAATAAACTGCTAAAAGAGACAATGTCATAGTTGAAATTCACCTGCAGAGTTTGAAGTGGCTCAGATGAACAGCTGTCGAGAGTGACTAACAGAGATTTCTGTGCAATTATTACTCATCATCCGACATATAACCATGTTTTTCTTTTTTATTATTCTCCTGCAGGACCGTCACGCTCTGCTGGACGTGACTCCCAAAGCTGTGGACACCCTGAATTACACTCAGTGGTACCCCATCGTCCTTTTCCTGAACCCTGACAGCAAACAAGGTCTGAAGACCATGAGAAACCGCCTCATACCCGGATCCAACCGCAGCGCACGCAAACTGTATGAGCAGGCCCTTAGGCTGAAAAAGAGCTGTTCACACCTTTTCACGGGTGAGTTTTATGTGATTTATGGCATGGTTGTCCGTAGTTAACTTGTGATTAATCAGATTTTTTTTTTAATCAACTGTAACTGTGCCCTTAACAGGATAGTTTTCATGTTTCTAATATTCTTACCAGCATGGGGCGGAAAATATACATACTTTATTCACATTTATGCTTATAATTATTGCAACAATCCAAATAATGACAACTACTACTGAGAAAACCCCCGGAGGTACTGCATGCTCATAAAATACACTGAATGTACGCAACAATTCGCTTCTTTCTCCATTTTTACTCACCATCCACAATGTAACTGTTGAAACCACTTCCAGACAACCCGATCTACAGGTCACAGAGCCCACGTGCGTTAATCGCGTGTCAAAAAGCCAATAGAGGCAATAGAGAATCTTTTTCTTCCTATATTTTTTTCTTTTAAGAATTTTTTGTTTTGTTTTTTGTCTGTTAGACACCATCGACTTGAACTCGGCCAATGACGCATGGTATGGCAGTGTGAAAGATTTAATTCGGGAGCAGCAAGACAAAGCTGTGTGGGTGTGCGAGGGCAAGGTGAGTGTCAGTGAACTTCTGCAGACCACTTGTTTTTGTGTGAATTTGACTGTTTCTTACACCCCTTCGCTTTGCTGTTACTTTCTCTCCTCAGGTGGATGGTTCAGAGGAGGACCTAGATCTCCAAGACGACCGCATGTCCTACCTGTCGGCAATGAGTGACTACCTCAGCATGGACAGCCGGATGACCAGCGACTACGATGACACAGCGGACGAGGGCGGGGCGTACACTGACAATGAGCTGGACGAGACACTGGATGAACCCCAGCCCGTGTCGGCCATCAGTCGATCATCAGAACCTGTACTGCCCGACGAGGTGGGCGTGTCTGCCGATTGACACTCTTCTTTTCCCCAACGTTGTTAATCCATCATCATCACTGTTAAAATATCTACTCCAACCCCTGTGACCCTTCTCTGTGTGCTGTGTGTTTGTGTAGCGGCCTCACCCTGAACCCCGTGTACGTATGAGAAGAGAGGTGAACAGAGAGCCAAGCCCTCCCCCTTCTTTCGTCCCTGAACCCCCAAAGGTGAGAACCTCTCCCTGTTTTCCTCCCGTCAGACATCACTGTCGCTACACTTTCTTGTGGTCTCTCAAGCTGCATCTCAATTTAAAGTCTTTAGACCTTTCAGTTCTTGGCAAGACTCGAAGTACCATCAGATCTGATTCAAACCAAGCTGGAAATGTCTGAGTGTAGAACTGTCTTCTTTGGACTTCATTTAGTGCCGGTGTCCATTTTCAGAACTTTTTCTTGATAAATAACAAAAACTCTAATCTAGATGAATAAAGTTGCCCTTCTATACATCAGTTAAGAGTGCATCCAATAAAGGAGGATCTATTTAAATTGCTTCATTTGGTACTTCCTCTGCAAGCCGCTTTGGAACCCACCTGCACCTTGTACTCCTCCTCTAATTGATGTTTCTTTCCACATATGCACATATGTACCTGCAAATATAAGGGACTGAAGATGAGGGGGAAAAACACCTTTTGTTGCCTAAACCAGCTGTGACTGAAATAAACTTTCTCACACTAAGCTGATAAAAATGTTCAAAACTCCTGCCTGCCTTTATATTTGGAAGTGGCTCTTCCTTAAAAAACAACAAACCACATCCTGTAGTTGAGCAAATGATCACAAATGGTTCTTTTTTTTTTGTTTGTTTGTTTGTTTCAGGTTCGTGCTCAGACTCGAACTGACTCCACACGAAGCTACGAGTCACACTCCAGCAGCACCATCAGCAGCGACGCAGTGGGCGGAAACAAGCCGCCTCCCCCTCCCGTGAAGCCTGTGAAGCCCACTATCGCCCGCCAACCAGTGAACCAGTCGTCAGAAGATCAGAGTCCGGGGAAAGACGACGAAGCGGAGGACCCCGCCAACAAATCCTTCCTGGGCAAGGTTAGACTCATTTATTGATTTAAATGAATTAATTATTTTTTATTTTATTCTTATACCAACAAGGCAGCTATCTGGGGCAAAAAGTCAGACTTTTTTATGTTTCTTTCTTCCCTTGCTTTAGAAGATTTCACTCTGGTATTATATCAAACTTATTCCCTTCTCCTCCTTTTGTTTTTTTTTGTTTTTTTTTACTTTCTCTGCATCTAATGTGAAATAGAAAATGGGTGACCAGGTAACTACAAATTTACCAACACATCTTTCCAACCCTCCCTTCAAATCCACAACAGCTCGTCATGCATCACAAATGTTCCCATTAATAAATCTCATTATGTATTTGCGTATTTACAGACACTCTTGTCTGTAAATGTTTCATCTGACAATCACTTCCTTGTGAGTTACATCATGTGAGTGGACGTGTGGCATCTATGCTGTTTTGTTTTTGTTTTTTAAATCAAAAATTGAAGTTTCACTTTTATTTTCTTCCAGATTAAAGCGTTTGAGAAGATGGACCATCTGGCAAGAGCTCAGAGGCTCCTGGAGCTACAGGAGGCAGAAAACGCTCGAGTCAGTAGTGCTGTCTTTCTTCATGGTACAGCTGTAAACTTCAGAGCAGGAACAGACACAGCAGGGAGCTTTCAGTTGACTTTTGGCAGTTGAATCCTGTCAGATTTATAGAAAGCTGCATTTAAAGTTCCTCTTACTTCCCCGTCTGTCCTAAAACAATCCTGACATTCCCATATCCAAGTCCAGTGTCTAAAAGCATTTTCTGATGTTCAGTCAGATCCATGAAAGGTACATAAAGATGCCTGTGTCCAACATAAATTGGTTTGTGGACTCATTTTGAAGCCTTGAGCATTTTGTCTGTCACCATCTTGCTGTTTTGAAACTTTTTTCTTTCTTTTTTTTAATCCACTTAAGTCTTACCTGTGAATCATCACGTGTCTACACTTGGCAATCTTTGCAAAGAACAAGTTTTTAATTGTACCAATAGGCACTTTGTTCCTGTTTCTTGGGCTGAATTTACAAAAAATCCCAAAGATAAGAGTTTGACAGGAATCAAATAATTTTGCACCAACAAGATGATTCCTAAAAACCTGCCACTGGTCAGGATGAACCAAAAAATAAATGAGAAAACAGCATCTGTCATGTAAAGACATTTTGTTAAGAAATAGGAAAAGAATCCAGCAAAGACCTGAAACAGGACCTAAGAGATGCATCTGATCTTTCAGTTGATCAGCCTACTGTTCACTGAAGTTTCATCAATAATATTCTCAGTGGAAACGGTCACTTCCAAGCTCATCAGTATTGTACAAGCTCTGTATTTCCTTTGATGTTTGCATGTTTCAACATAATTTTTTTGTAAATTGTAATAGTCAGAATCTACTTTTCCTTGATTTACAAGGCAAGGTAGATTCTGACTATGTATTAATGTATAGATGTATTAATATTATTACAGTACCCCTCACAGTAGTTGAACTTTGGACTGCAGCGTCTGTCCTCCTACTATTTACTCTAAAAAAAAAAGCAGCACTCCAGATGGGAGCAAGAGACACCTGGTTTAATGTTCACCGGGGTTTAAGAGTGTTGTTTTAAGGTAGAACTAAAAATCCTTCAACTAAAGAAAGATACACTTGCAGCCTGTCTGGGTATAGTAGGATATTTTATTTCTGTTCTTTACTTTTTTGTATTAGATCTGACATATCTGGGTCTGTCCCTCTCTTTATGCAGTTGGAAATCGCCCAGAAGCATCCAGATCTCTACGCTGTCCCAGTGAAGCTGCCAAAACCCAACCTCAGCCGTCCTCAGCCAATAGGGTGAGAGCAGAGCCTCATCTCTGACATCATAAAAAATGTTCTATTTTTATAAAGATGCAAGTTTATGACCCGTGGTGTGTGTGTTTGTGTGTGTCCAGTTCAAGCTCCATCCCCGAGCCACAGACTCCCTCCAGGCCGCCGTACTCTGAGTCGAGAGGACACGAGGACGACGAGGACGACTACCGCCGCCAGCTGGCCGACCAGACCAAGAGAGGATATTACAACCCCCAGAAATACAAAGACACTGAGCTGTAAGGCTGGGAAAGCAGGAAGTGACATCATCACCGATCAAAACTCTTCGAACTTCTTGTCGTGTCGTCAGTTTCAGACACTTTTCGCGTCCCTTGTTGTGCAGAAAGCGTGGTGCCCCACGCACACAAACGCACACAGATATCTGGTCTACCTTTGCCACTCGCCGTTACAGAAACTGTGCACAGCTGATGTTTCAATGTAAATATTCTGTTGGTGTCTGTGATCTATATTTTATTTTCCCGCCTTTATTCCGGGACTCAGTTTGTGCCTACCGTGTGTCACCATCACACAGTAAAACGCCCAATGTTTGGAAGGATAAGAAGCATAAAAGAAATGTAAACACGTCACTTGAAGCCATTTCAAACAGCTGGAGACGTCACATTTTTATACTCCCTTTTTGAACAGAAGAAAAATTCATGAACTTAAAACACAGCAATGCAAATTAACTATAATGGCGCAATTGTGTCCTAAATTTAAGGTTCATGCTCTGCTGCTTAGGTCCTCTGCAGGTGGGACACAAAAGTATGAATACATGAAGTGAAACTTGAAGAACAGTCGAGGCCAAAAGTTTGGCAGTGGCACAAATTTTTTTTCATTTAGAATATATATGTGATGCGCTTTGAATACTTTTACTGGTAAATTTATGCAAAGAGTGAGTATTTGCAGATCTGCCCATTCTTCATAACATCTGCTGTTTTCTGTGGTTTGCTGGGTATCAGCTTCTGGGCCAAATCCTGATGGATGGTGATGTGTTTCTGTTGACCTTTGAGTCTTGATGGGTTGACATCACTTTTGCCTTGTGACATGGTGAAAATGCACCATGTTATTTTCACCATGACATGGTACATACAGCAGCAATCGTCACCAAATTGCTGCTGTATGAGCTGTTTGTTGTTTGTTTTTTTTGTTTTTTTGTTTTTTAGTATGGTCAATCCTTACAAAGTGAGTTGACAAACAGGCAGAAGTCAGGATTTGGACCAGGAGTCAATGCTCAGCAACTTCAAACTTCAATACATTCTGGAGCGGCAAAGTGTGACAAGCACAAAATTTCTGCTACTACCTAAACGTTTGACCATGACTGTAGAAAGATTGTTGTATCACAATATGAAAGTCCCCGGTTTGAGCTTGCTGGCTGGGGCCTTCAGGTGGGTGTAGACTCTCTTGGAAAGCTCCGGTTCCAGGGGTTGACTGTGTTTTCTGGCGCCACCAGTCCAGGGTATACCTGCCTGTCCTCGAGTGATGGATGGAATAGTCTCAAGAAATCATAATAAAAAAGTTTTTCAGGTTTTCATAATTAAACAATGTGAAGCAACAGAAATAGCTGTTGATCCCACTGAGTTGCCGAATACCATCAGTGCTGCGCGTGGAGCAGGTGCAAACCTTTTGGACACAATAAAAATGTAAAATTAAAACCAGCTAAAAACACTGTAAAAGTACAACTAATGCCTGTTATTGATACACCGTGCAGTTTTTTTACATTGTGATGGTGAATACACGAGGCTGAAACTGAAGCGAGCAAACGCCCAAATCACTGTTACAGTTCTGTGGACTGCACCTCAGCTTTTTCACCAATTTTGTGCGTTTTTGTGAGGCGCCACATGCTTCGGGCACGCTCCTCTGGTGTTAATTGTCCTCTAATCGCACCTCCCCTGCTGAACTACACATTCCAAAGTGGACGCCTGCGTCTGCAGCACGCCGCTGTGTGAGCTGTGCAGTCTGGGAAGCAGCTTATTCTCAAGTGCCTTGCAGCTCTGATTTCAGCTCGGGAGATAAAGGCTTCTACCTAAAAAGCACTTGTTTTGTTTTAACTGCTGTTGTAAACTGAACCAAGCAGAGGTTGGAAAGTATTTTCAGTACAGTTACTGCACACTGTCGAAATACACGAGTAGATTTAAACTGGAAACATCTTTCCTTTGTTCTTTGCTTTTGCTTTAGAAGAGCATTGCAGTCACTGAAGAGATGCGAAGTCAGAAATAGGAGATTCAGATGGATTGCATGAATGCAGCATCTGTATCTCATCATTGCATAATAATTACCAAAAGATTGCCCCCCCCCCCCTTTTTTTTTTTTTTTTTTTTTTTTTTAATTTAGGACTTTGGCAAATGCAGGGCTCTTGGATAAGATGGGGAAGCTGTGCAGCTGCCTGTTTAGCATTTCTGTGTTAGACCAGCGTGTAAATGACGTCACAGATTTCATTAAAAAGTGTATCACGAGCGAGGCGTTCAGACAACTTGTGATTGAGCTATGTTTCTTTATTAGCTGCTGGCAACCAGAGACAATCACATTTTTATTTTATTTTTTTATTGCTGATGCTTTTTTTGTTGAAAATTTTGAATATATATTCATACACTTGATTCAGTTCAGTGTTTGTGCACTACTGTTTGGGGAATGTGGTGACAATCATGTTGGTTTATCAGTCTCTCTTAAATGTTATTTTATGATTTGCTTGTTTTGTCTCCTGAGTGTTACACAACAGTCTCTTGGGAAAATCTAATAAATGTTTTTTTTGTTTTGTTTTTTTTACACAAAGTCATGTTCAGAGTGTCATGTTCCACCTTTGCTTTTGGGTTGCTTTTGTTTTAGAAATGCTGCTGTGTTGGGCTCATTGTCTTCAGATGTCAGATGGCCTCACATTTGACTCTGATACTTTAGTACAGAGAGGACTTCAAGGTCAGCTCGGGGACTGCAAGGTGCCCAGGCCTGTGGCTGAAAAACGAGCCAAAATCATCCCCCCTCCACCACCATGCTTGACAGTTTGTATGAGGCTATGTTTGGCTTTCGTAATCTGGCTGTGTGCATTATGGATCACTTTGCAAGCCTTCTGGACCAATGATACTATCAGTTTGTTCAGATGAAGCTTTGCAAACCTGAGGTGTGCTGTCATGTTCTTTTAGAGAGAAGACTACTCTTCCTACTGGCAACCCATCTAAACAAGCCATACTTATTCAGCCTTTTTCTAACTGAACTGTCATGAACACTAAAATTTAATGTGCTAAACGAGGCCCATGGAGGCTCAGAGGAAGCTCTTGGCAGTGCAGTGAGCGCTCACTGACCTTGGGGTGAATCCACTGGCAAGATTGTGACATTGTGTTAAAACACAGCTAATATAGAGGTGGTCACACTTGCTTTTTGTCAGCAGCATGTGACTACTACCTGCCCTCTTTATTCCTATGGAAGCAAGTAAGTGTGTACTTCAGTCAAGTGAAAAAACTGTTCTAAATTTATACTTGAGAAAAGGTCGACTCCACCACTGGTCCAGTTTTAACTACTTTTCAAACAAAAATAAACCAAACGTCACAGACTGCTGCCTTTTCCTTTAGTTTATTCTGCAGAATTATACATGCAACCTTTACAACTTCAGCTTTAAACTCTTTTTGTGTCACCCTGACATTTTATAGGTCCAACATGATTAGAGTACATTCAGAGATTATACAGCTATTCAAACCAAAGCTAATATTGGCTCTGTTCTCCACCTAAATATACACAAGAAAATCCCAAATTTCTCTTTGGTCAAACATAAAACGTCACATTAACACTCGGCCTAGTGAGATAATCTGCCTTCTGCTGTCACACTGGAGATGTACATGTTTACATGACAGTCAACTGTACAGATTAAGGCAAGTCAAGTGATATCAAACAGGGAAGGGAGAGGAGGGATAAAAGGGATTTAAAACGGAGACAGGCGGGAGTGATGTGTCAAGCGAGACGTGTGTGTTCAGATGTAGACAGGTTGTTCCTGTGCTGTCAGCAGACGGTACATGGCTGCAGGCATCGTCTTCATGTGGATCTGGAGCAGAAAGGAAAAAGTGCAATGAACAAACTAAACTCTCCTTAAATGAACCTGCAAGAATAACTTTTTGTAGAAAATTACAATAGCTTCTTTTTTAAAGATGTTGTCACATCATTTGTTTGTGTTAAACTGTGACACAGTTTAGGCCAGTATCAACCAGGGATGTACTTTGTTTCAGTGAATGCAAACGTTTACCTTCTTCAGGGCCCAGAGTTGATTAATCAGTGTGAATTTTCTCCACTGGAAGGCAATAAATGGTAAATGGCCTGTATTTGTATAGCGCTTTTACTTGGTCCCTAAGGACCCCAAAGCGGTTTACACTACACTCAGTCATCCACACATTGGTGATGGCAAGCTACATTTTAGCTACAGCTGCCCTGGGGCGCACTGACAGAGGCGAGAGTGCCGGACACTGGCGCCACCGGGCCCTCTGACCACCACCAGGAGGTAACAGGTGAAGTGTCTTGTCCAAGGACACAACGACCGAGACTGTCAGAGCCGGGGTTTGAACCGGCAATCTTCTGATTACAAGATGAACTGCCAACTCTTGAGCCATGATCGCTCATTTGAAAAATATTTTATTACAGAAGGCTACCCTGTTGAATAACTACCCAATTGTGGTGTTTAAGTGTACTTCTGGTCTTGGCGTCTGAGAGGGTCTCCTACGGTAAACTGGTCCCTGGGGAGGGGCTAGACTAAGGAAGTCCTAATGAAACGTAAGTCTTGGCACTGCATAACCACTCGTGGAAGTGGAATCTGGGACCACCACCTCCAGGCCTGGCCGCCAAACACTTAAAGCTCATGAATACACCACTTATGTCTTATACATGAGTGATGGGAAGGCAGAGCCTTGGTTGTGCACCTACTGCACTGGACTGTTGTGCTGAACCGAGAGCTGAGCTGTCCATCCAAGTTTTGACCCTCAGTTATAGCCACCTGTGAAGATCTGGGTAATGACTGAAAGAGTAAGGTTGAGAATTCATGGGGCTGAAATAAGTCTCACCCGTAGGATGGGCTCAGTGTTAGGGACAGGGTGAGGAAATCTGGAATGATCTCATATTCATAGTGAGGAGGCAAAACTTAGGACCAGGTGGAATGGACTGATTGATTTTTCATGGCGTGACCCACCCATATAATATAATGGAAGGATTATTTTCAACTGTAAGTCATGCAAAGCTGCCCTAGTAAAGGCAAGACTTTAAATGTGGAGCTGAAAATGACAATAAAGCGTCTCCTTTAAAGTGAAATGGTGCTGTGCTGCACAAAGAACCCTGGGATTACAGCTTTAAAGCCGTAAAAAGGCTTTTAATGTGAAATATTGATGCAGGAGGGAAGGCATTCACTGAAGCAAGTCTTTCAGCTGCAGCTGTTTTCCTGATGGAACTGAGGCTGATTTTGAGACAGTTTCAATAATAAATCAAGAAGGCCTATAAAACGGGAATTTACATGTTAAAGATATTTTAGGATATGTCTCAAACATGTTTTTTGCTGCTGAGGTAAATAAAAGAACATATGTGGCCATTTTGAGTATTTACCTCTCCCATGGCATTGGACAGGATCTGAACAATCTTCTCGTGAGGAGTCGCCACGACGCTCTGGCTGTTGATCTCGATGATGCGGTGACCGACGCGGACGCCACCTCTCTCAGCGATACCGCCTCTCATCAGACTGCAGATCTGCACAGGAAGGAAACACAGAGGGATTTGGCTTAGTGGGGACACAGCCGATACCAAATCTAAGAATTTGACAAGAAGGACAATTCATTTAATTTGTTCCCTGCAGCTGCGAGTGAGTTTCAGTAGCTCCAGATACTCACTATGCCATTCTGGACACTGAAGCCTAGCTGGTATCGGAGATCCGGCCTGCGAATAAGCACCATGGTAACGGGAGGGCACCTGACAATGTTCATCTTGATCCTGGACTGAGACTTGAGACCCTGGGGAAACAGCAAGCAGACATATGAGACAGATCCAGCAAACATTTAAGAACCCCTTCTGCTTGTAAGGGGTTTCAAAAAAGATGAAAGGTGGAAAAGAGAGAGCAGCAGCGTACCTTGATGATGCTCTGGCAGGTGCTGAGAGGTAAACCCACCAAGCTTGTACCATTTATGGTCATGATCTGATCTCCGATGTTGAGTCGGCCAGACTTCTCCGCTGGGCCGGCGTGCATCATGCTAGCGATTATCACTGTGGGGAGGATTGACCCCCAGCCAGACTCCACGATCACCACGCCGAGGATCTCGCCTTTTTGCTTCTCGATGTAAACCTGAACGTGAATATGACCTTAGTTTCTTTAAAGATACCAAATAATGTTCATTTACAGCTTCAAAGTTGCATTTTGGGGATTCTAGTAGAACAAATCTTGTCGGATATCTGCTATAACTCTGTGAGGAGGGGCTCAGGCTTCCGAGAGCTCTCAGCCACATAAGGTAGCGGATCTTTGTTAGTCTGACATCGTGCCAAACAAACAGCCAGATGACTTGGATAATGAATGACTACAGTGTTTTTAGGCAATTTAGTAGCTGTGGCATCAAACTCAGATATAGAACGTATATATGCATAGCTGTATGTGTTAATGAAGCCTCAAGATGGACGTCTTAGTGCTTTAAATCCAAATGTGAGGTGTGTCTGAAAAGTGAAGGAGCACACCCATTTCTCAATCACACTGTAAAATATACAGTGCTTTATCCTAATTTTTACCCTAGTGTGTGCCATAAATTACAAAATTAACATCCCGTTGTGTTCAGTAAGACCTGAATGTGCAACTGAGACCACAAAATTCTCAAGAAAGTGCTTAAAGAAAGACTTAAGACTTATCCCATAGACCTCCCTATAACTGGCCGCCCCCTGCTGGCCACTAGATATGAATGCAGGTTTATGGCACTTCAGCACTGGCTTCAGTCTGTGAGCTCAGCTAACATCCACCTGAACACTGGATTGGATAATCTCAAACAGGATGTAACATTTAATCTGCTGCTTCTGCAAGCCACTTTGCAGCCCACCTTCAATTCATGTCATCCATTTCGTACTCCTCATGCTGTTTCTGACTTAACTAATGATGCAATACAATACAAGTTTATTTGTATAGCACATTTAAAACCAAGGGTATACCAAAGTGCTTCACAACAACACCATAAACAGATACGTCTGTTTTCACTGATGCTGGGAAATTTGCAGTTGCTCTCAACCGTTATCCTTTCCACATATGTGCATGGAGGGCGGATACAGTCAAATAAAACTTCCTGCAGGTTTTGATTAAAAGCGTCCCCTCTGTCTTTATTGTGGACTTCATATCAAACTAAGATGTGAATCGCACCAAAGAAAAAGAACCTTACAGAGACACGTTGGACACATATCAACAGTCACCTTCACCAATCCAAATCTACCACAGTCCTCCCAGTTCGGGCTTCTCGCCGCCAACCACACAACTCTGAAAAATGTGAGATGACAGCAGGCAGCGAGAGCAGGGAGGAGGCTCCGAGGTCAGAACAGGTCGAGCATCACAAATTCACCTTTATACTGAGGTTAGGAGTTTGCTCTTTTTATTAAAATGTCATCTCTCAGTACAACTGTCATGCAGCTGTGACTCCTAAACCAGATGCTCATGTAACAGCACTGCGAGGCAAACTAACAACACAATGAGCAGGAAAAACATTAATAGCCTGACCTGAATTAAAGAGATGTGTTGCTATTTTTATCTGAAAGATTCATCCATATGCAGAGTGGAATATTTTTATCTTGCGAA